CACAGGGAGCACGTAGAGACAGCTCCCGCGCGCGGCTGTCGTCTCAGCTTGTGGATGGAACCCGCGGGGCACGTGCTGCGGGCACGCCTCATGTGCCAAGTCGGCAAGCCGCCGCTCGGTCGCACCATGTGCGTGGAAGGCGCGGAATGAAATGAACAGCGAGTTAAACAAAAAAAAAAAAAAAACAAAAAAAAAACAGCCCCTCCAAGCGAGAAACGGTCGCCCGCCCGGAAACGGGGGCAAGACGCGAGAAGGGAGACGAGAGTTGGGGCGATTCAAGTTAGCCCAGCGAGCGCGTGCCCTTTTCTTGGTGGGGTGGGATCTCCCCTAGATACACACGGAAGGAAGAGTGCGAGACCAAATTAGCGAAGAATATACTCGTACAGCGAGCCCCAAAAAGCCGTGGTCACCCTCCTAAGACATCGTACAAACGACTGTGTGCAGACACCCTGCCCGAGGCGCTCTTCTTCCCTGCGTGACGATCAAATCACATGGGTCATGCAAAAGTCTTTTTGTTTTTTTTCTTATAGGTGTATTTCAAGCGTACACATGCACGAGGTAAACATTGAAACATGCTTCATACCCAGGTAATTCCCTCATCGCGTTTGCAACGAACATGCATGCAGACATGTTCGCTGGTATGATGTGTGAACAGTGGTACTGTGGCTTTAAAAATACCATTAAAGCAAGTTTTGAACTTCCGTTTTTAGAAAAGGCTGCTTTTTAATCCTTTCTGTGGGGTGTTTGGCTTTATGCTCAATCTTTTTTATGCAATTCTATAAAGCTTATTGTGTTAATTCGAGTAAAAGAAAACATCGAAACCGAAACTAACGTTCGGCTTCCCCGCCGTACCACCGCTCCTTAAAAGGACATTAACAGGGTTTTTATGCTTGCCAAGGTTTTTATTTGTACACGGCATACGAGAGCCCAACTGCCCAGGCCACAATTTGCGGCTCGAAATTCCTTTTCTTTTCGCCCGAAAACCGCCGACCGAGAACTGGCCGGTTTGAATCGCGAGCATTCTCTTCTCCCTGGTCATGCGCCGTTTTCTATGGTTTAGACACAACCACCGTACATAACCAAAGTCGTGGGTCATCGAAGGCACGCACTCATTGTTAAAGATAGGAAATAAATATAATACCCATTTTTGTGGCTTCTAAAAAGTTGCAATACGTTGGTTAAGAAAAGAAAAAATTGCACAGTCACGTGACGTCCGCCAACTCACTCCTCCTCTATATTTATTCTTCCTCCCCAGTCCACTTTCAGTTTCGGCTTTGAGCAATTGCGTTTTTTTGTTTTTTCTTACTTTATTAAAAATATACGTGACGTTGTAGCAAAATATTGATTGGGCAGTCTTCTGACACTAGAATTAAATGCCTGACAAAAGAAATTTAATGTTTGTCACTGTCACTTTAAAAACCTAGGTGACGTCGACAATGAACCGTAGGTTTCGGTAGCATTTAGTTGTCACGAGCGCAGCTGGCAGGGTGAGCTGTAGCGGTGCTTGGTGGTTTTGTGAGCGCATTGTACCAGGTTGTGCCATGTTGCGACCGCGAGTAAAAGAGCGCAAGCATGGCGCTAACCTCGAGCTAAGCGCGTGCTGACGAAAGCGGTCACCAGCTTTGTATCGCACCGGCAAAAGTGTTGCTCATGGCAGACGATAAGTATACCTGACGACATCAGCGCTTCACTGCATCTGAGAAATGGCTTACGTGTCGTCAGTTAGTTATTGTCTGCCATGTGGAACACTTTTTACGGTACGATACAACGCTGGTGAACGCTTGCGTCAGCACGCGCATAGCGCGAGGTCAGCGCTCCGCTGCATATGTGAACAGGTCTTTAAGTGGGAAATTTGTGGGATCAGACTTAATGTCTACGATTAAATTATGATATATAGAGATTCAAGTAAGCTTTGTTGTAGTCATTCTAACCCGTGTCTGCTCAAGATCATGATTGTCTCGAGGGTCTCGAGGAAGATTTTCTCTTCTTCGGCAGCCACTACACACGCTCCCCTCGGTAGAAACGAAGTTTAATCAAAATAAAAGAGAAAAAAAAAAAAAAAAAAAAAAAAACACACTGCAACTAGGGTGCCTCAATGTCCTTCTGTTTAGGGTGATGCCATCCTTTGTAGTACCCGATGCCGACAGAACGCGCTCACGGAGAAAATACAACGAAATCGACGAAAACAAAATGTCGCCATAGCACAGTCAGCGCCACAAACGCGTGCAGGGACACGCTCTTTCACGTGCTTTTGAACAAAAAATGAAAACAAACGCGTGGGACAAAATGGCGAGATGTCACCACCCTAAGCAAAGCGCGCATGAAGGCACCCTAATCACAACTAAATGCTTTGGCATTGAACACTGAAAAATTCGCAGGGTCTCTTTTGTTATCTCTAAGACGACTAGAAGGCGAAAGCCCAAGCGCCGATGTAAACGTGATAGCGAACCTCCGAAGACAGCGCGCTCTCTGACGACGCACTTTTGGCGCCGTTTCATTGTATCATTCGGATCGTAACGTCGACTGTGGTCCCGGTGATAGCGAACCTTCGAAGACAGCATGCTCTCTGACGACGCACTTTTGGCGCCGTTTCATTGGTACCTTTCGCTTTGATACCTTTCGTGTCGAGACGTATTTTCGTACGTTTTGTGTCGCCGACGCGTTTTCGCTCAAGGACTTTGAAAGTCGACTGAACGATGAGACATATAAGGCTTTCGCTTTAATAAAATGTGTACGATTATTTGCATCGCTAGGGAAATTGTTGTCTTCATCCCAATCTACATGCAAGTTGCGTTTCACCGAATGCGGAGGTCGGAACCGGCTGGCTGGTTTCCTTGTGTTAAAGTCGTGTTCATAGCTGTATTCGTCTGTATAAGCTGGTTTCAGTCTATCAGTTAAGATCGTTTCATGACCGTCCCCCATGTGAATGATGAAGAACTTCGACTTGCGGTTGATGACCTTGGACGGACCTTGGCACGGCTGTTCAAGTGCTTCGTTGTTCTATCGATGCGAACAAAAACATGTGTACAGCTGTCAAGCTGGGGCTGATGAAAAAAAGGTGGTTCTTAATCTCCTGTGGTGCACATCCTCTGCTGCGCTGCCCTCGCGCAACGCAGCAAAGGCTGGTCGCACTATTTCTCCACGGGGCGCGGTGCCGTGGGCGCCGAGAAGCGCTCCGATTGCAAACCGAAACGTAAAAACCCGTCGAAATTGTCCGGTTATCAGAAAGCCGTAAAATTGCGCGCGTGCCTCTTATCGTTCTGCAATTTGTTGATTTAGTTTTTTTCGATGATGCTCAGCAAGATTCTAATTGAAACCATGCCCTTAAACTCAATATTCAAAAAAAATTAATTACGCGAAAATAATTAACAACTTAATTATCCCGAACTTTAATAATCTTCCTAAATAGGCCCCTGGCCTAGGACCAAAACGACACAAGCCTTTTTTGGTGCGATGCGTAGTTTTCGCAATATCGAATTTGTCCACCATTCGAAAAACACCGCTATACATACATATATATATATATATATATATATATATATATATATATATAGATATAGATAGATAGATATATTTATATATATATATATAGATAGATAGATAGATAGATAGATATATTTATATATATATATATATATATATCAGTGTGTCGAACCGAAAAAAATACGGGTTCGGTTACGGTTCAGGTTCAGGTAAATTTATTTTGTTCCGGTTCACTTCCGGTTCGATTAATTCGATCCGCGAACCGGTTCACGAACCGGTTCGGGGCGCTGAACCGGTTCGCGAACCGGTTCGGAAATTATAAATGAAAAATTGCAACATCAAAACAAATTACAAATGAAACATCTCAAATCAGCACATACGAAACGGGATACATCGTAGTGTAAGGCTCAGGGATTTCTACCAGGAATGGCTTCTTTATGTGCACTCAAAGGTTACCTCACCGACGTTTACGCATTCGGACTTCATCTAATTGGGTCCGACGCAGTAGCTCTAAAATCCGCGACCTCCTTACAAACCCACTTACAAGCAGAACTCGCAAACTATCCCGCCACCTCGGCGTGTAAGCAATTGAAGGAACAGTGGGGAGAAAATACAGCTTTCTTTATTTGAACTAGCCTTCGGTAACTCAAATTACACCCTTAAGGAAGTTTTCATTAAACAAGATACGAAATATGAAAAACACTTCACCGAACGCATCGCCAGAAGGACGTAATAGGATAAATATTAAAATAGAAGAGTTCGCTGTCTCACAAATATGTTAGCTTCTAAGTGCCTATACGAAACCGGACGCATTATTATCAAACTCCCACAGCCTTTTCTTTTCTCATTCCGATGGAAGCTAGCTTCAAGAACTCGCGCGTTCTAGAAACGTGTTATGAAATGAGCACACAGCAGCATTTAGGATTTACGAGATTGTAGGAAAATGAAATCCCGTAACGCAATTTTTTTAGATTTTTTTTTTTTTTTTTTTTTGCACAGCTTTTTAATTCTTTTTCTTCCGTGCAAGCCGCGACCAGCGCAATACTGGTTCTTATGTCAAGATTTATGGATGCAGCGTTTGTCAAGATTCATGGATGCAGCGTTTATATTCCTAAGACTGAGTGGAGAAGAAAAATATGTAAGCGAGGGTGTGTGTCAGTTGACGGCACTTAAAAGACGAATGGCATTGATAGCCCATTCATTGTCAGCAGCGCGTGGCCGAACCGTCTTGACACGAGCCGGTAACCGTTATTTTTTTTTTCCGGTTCAGTTCCGGTTCGGGTTCGTCGCGATAACAATATAACGGTTCGTGTTCGGGTTCAGTTCCGGAAAAAATACCGGTTCGGTTCCGGTTTTCGGTTCGGTTCGACACCCTAATATATATATATATATATATATATATACTTTTTTTTTCGGTGTTGCCTGGGTGTGGCAGGCGCTTCTGTTACACTCGTAACCATAGGAATAGTTCGCTCGTCTGGAATCTCAGAATTTCCGCTCCCTCCCTCTCGCTACAGGTGGGATCTCTCCGGGCGCGGAGGTGCGACGCAAGGGCAAGTGCAAATGGTTCAACGTGGCCAAAGGCTGGGGCTTCATCACTCCCCACGACGGGGGACCCGACGTCTTCGTTCACCAGGTCGGTTCAAGCCGCATTCGGCGCATCATTATACCGCGCTCACGGTTGCCGCATGAACTCGATCTACGAGTTGTTGGGAGACTTCATTTAGACCACTTTCAAAGGTTCGCACCGCCTAGTAGCTGTTTCACAAATTATCCAGATCCGCCAATGCTTGGTCACGTATAATCTGAGCATGCATTGAACACCAGGGGGAGGGGGAGGGGGGTGGCGCGAGGGGTGCATCAGCAGTCGGTGTTAACTCGGATCCAATCAGACGTTTTGTGCACACGAGTGGATGCAAGCTAATAACTGTACACTTTATAACGGGTGGTAGCTTGCGCCAGCTAGCATACAAAACAAAACAAAAAATGTTAACCGCTAATGTTGCTCGACAAAATTTTAAAGGTGTCTACTCATTCTATGAAAGCACGAAAGTCCACAGTTCACAACGGCAGAAGTTAACTTATGGCAGTCGCTGGCAGATGGAATATGGCAAGCTGTATCTTTTGTTTGCCCAAATTTCGAGCACGCGTGCGTTGCCTTCCGACATGCCTTGACTGTGCGTATACACGCGCAAGGTGTAGAGATGCCGAAGCGATATCGAGGGTATGTAGCCCTTAACTGCCTTAACATCCTGCAAAACTGGGTATTTACGATTATTGTATCCGTTGCATCGTTGCGATTTATAAAGTGACGTAGTTAGGTTAAGAAGTACTGTACATCCCTGTCCTCTATCCTCATTCGACTTTCATGTTTAATTAAAAAGAACTTAATTTTTAATACATACCATTCTCAGCTCAGACCAGCTTATTACTCGTGAGGTATTCCTATGGCTATCGAAAGATAGACAGCTTAATTGTATGCGATCAGTTTGATTTTCGGATACTTTCGGGCGACGGTGTTAAAAAGCTCAATCGGACGCGCAGCACGCAAAGCTAGGCCGCAGCAAGCTTGCCGCACATGCGTCTGCATTTTTAATTCGATGTGCGACGGTCTTCGCGCCGCGTCTCTGGCGCCTCTGCCAAAGTCGCTATGCATGCCCAGTCGAGCTCGTTACCCGCAAGCGTCGCCACGTTCCTGTTTACGACGAGCAGGTCTCCTCGGCGTCTGTCGACACGACAGCCCCCGCGCGCGCTGACCGGCCGATCGCCGGGCCTGATAGCTGGGCGCAGATGGTAACAGCGAGGTCGCGCCGCTTTTGAGATCTCGGTTATCGCTTTCGTGGGGACCGCGGCGAAGAGGACGCTCTCTCGTGTTGGTTCCGTCGTATGCTGTCTTCTATCATTGTTGTTTTACTTTCTCGCGTGAGGTAAACTGGAGGGTAGGGGAGACTCTCTGTAAGATCGAGGGAATGCTTGCTTAGGTAACGAAATACATGGGAGAGACACAAAACGGGCATTTTTCTTCGTCCACTCAGCATCCTACATTCGATGTTTGATAATGGCGGGTATACAAAAAGTGATCATAACGGTGACAGTTTTGTACGCATTCACAATATACGGTACGGATCAGCCTGAAATTATTTGTGCTATGCTCCAGTTCATTTTGTTTTGCGCGTGGTAGGAACTGGGGCACCTCTTTGGTGACAATATTGATGGAAAGAAAAGAGCAGGAAAACAAAACTAAGAGACGTGCGAGGTATATAATAAAGATATCTGCCTCGCACCATCTCCATATCAATTCAGCAAATTAGCGAGTGTTCCTTTCTGCACGTTATCTGTTGACGGTGAAAATGTTATACTAATTATCCCTCGGTACGTTAACGTTCGAGTGGGTTGACCGGATCTCGTGTTTATATAAATATGTTTACGTTAAAAAATCACTAAGGCTTCTTTGTTTATTGTGCCAGTATTTTATTCATCACTCTCACGACGTAGTGATCTATGTATCCCACAGAACATGAACACCATTTTGTTCCGCTCACTCTCTATCTCGCTGCTAGTCATCATCTATCTTTCCATAAACTTGCCTTTCACCAACTCAATATCAAACGTACGCGTTTCATGCACTTCCTTCTGAACAAACTGCTGTCTTAATGCTCCCCAAATTTCAGTTGTCTTTTCATTCTGAATAAGGTTCGTACATCGTAAAGGCTGCGCACGAACAAGAGGCCCGTTTCATCGTCTTAACGCCGGGAGGCACTGAACCAAATTAGGGCACGTGCTGCGCGACAGATCCGGGCCAGCCGAAGGCACAAAAGAACACCTTCTTTGTTGTTCTTCATTTCAGAGAGGAAGCCAGTTAAAAGGAGAAGAGGCTTCATGCCTCCTAAACGAACGAGCCTTGATTCGGAGCTCTGAAAGAAGAAAGAGTAGAACCCGGACCGTCCGCAGCGCGGATGCTTTTCTAAACGACACCCACATGGTCGTTCGGATGACACAGACATTGTCGCGTGCCGGACAGACGTACGGAGAAACCCGGTGCCCCAGGGAAGCCTAGGGCGGAAGCGTATTCCGAATTATTTTTAGGGTCCCGCGAGAGAAAAGCTCCGTCCGGGAACGGGCGAAACGCGCTACCCTCTCTGCCCGATGCTGCTGCCGCGGTGCACCCCGCGCGCCCGTACCGACATTCTTTCGCCGACCCGTGGTTGAGTCCGCGCGGGAAAAACTATAACCCCTGCGTGCTTTTTTGGGACTGTTTTTCTTATTCTCCCTTTTCTTCTTTAAGAGGCGTTCTCTTTGTCAGAAAAATTCGAGTTTCGTCCTTCCAGTACCGGAACGCGCGCCTTCTCAGCAGAAGGACAGCCCGGGTCTTGAGCGAGCAACCATCAGCTGCAGTCCCAGCACGGAGGGAGCTCCTCGGAGTGTGTCTGGGGATCATTCACTCCGCCGTTGGTGTCGCCCTTCCTAAAAGAAGCTCTTTTCCTCGCTCTGATCTCTCAAGCAGCGTTCCTCCTTCAACCCCCCACCCCCCGACGAGTCGCGCCTCATTGTCATCTGGGAGCCCCAAGAATGACAGCGGCGCGTGCCGCCTGCCTTTATAGGGAGCCGTGGCCTCGCCCTTTTTCCTCGTTTTCTGAACGAGCGGAAACCGCCCCCGAAATTTTCTCTTGCCTTTCATTTGTTGCCGTCTTCTCTTGCCTCTCTGCACATCTGCGAGCACTCAACGGGTGATGCGAGATGTCACTGTGATTCTTCAGCGCTTTTATAAGGATGCTCGCTCATCTTGCAGGCTTGTTTTAAGGCCTCGAAAAAAATCCAAAGCATAAAACAAAGGGGAAGAGTTAAATTTACTATGCGACAAACTTTAAAAAAGAAAAAGTGAGGACGGAGAAGGGGGGGGGTGGGGGGGGGGGGAGGGGTTGTTGAGAAGTAGGCGCGTGGAAGGGGAAGACATCGGTGTTCTTACGATGCCTGACAGTGTGGAAACGTCACCGAGAATCCCGGCTCTTATTTTTCTCTAGCTTAATAAAGTTTCATCTCTCTCTCTCCTTCTCTCTCGCTGTGGTAGCGGGATGTGGCCTCTTTTTGTCATCCGAAAGGAAAAAGAGGTAGCTGATTCAATGGGCACCCATATTCAAAATACGTGAGGCTAACTCACAGACCTTATGAGTGTCTATACCTGCCTTTTAAAGCAAGCCCGGAGATTTAACCCGATTACCATTTGCAGTTTCCATCAGCCGCTCAACTGTGCCACAGCTCAGCACTCTATGGGAACCAGATGCCAAGGCATAAATAAACATTAGACCCGCTCCTGGTTCGTGAATCTACACACTGGTCACAGTGCGGTCAAGCCGAGACCGCATGTATGTCTTACAATCTAACATGAGTGAAAAGCGTTAACACAGACACAAGCAGTCGTCGAATGTTTGCATTGTGAACGCGGCTGCCATAAAAGACGCCAGAGAAAGAAACCTGGCTTCCCCATCCCCTTTTTCTCTTTCCCTTTTGAGTAGCAAGAGCTTCGGCCGAGCTGCTTTCAGATGCCGAATGACCGCGAACGAGTACAGCCAAAGAAGCGAGTACTATACGCGAACGAGACTGTGTCACGACGACCATTTTTCAGCTCGGGTTCTTTTCTTGCAGCCCCGGTGTTGAAGCGATGGGGAGTTCATTGGCTCCTTGTTCGACGATGCGCCGGCCAGAGCATTGTCGGGATTGCGTCAACACCTCCCCTCTACTCCCAAAGAGGTGCCGATTGCAAATACGGCGGGCGCACCGACAATCGATTCCCCGACGAGACCCGAGCACATTCAAGTGACGGTGCTGACCACTGCGCACCCCCTCTACCCCCCCCCCCCCCCCCCCCCTCACCCTACTACCACCACCCAACCTTTTTTTTTTCTTTCTTTTTTGCACCGCACACATGCAGACCAATTGACCAACGAATGGAAAGCGCGCCTTACACTTCTGTCGGCGGAAGTATATTTCAGGGCCTAGGCCACCACGCGTCCCTCTCAACGCTTGTACAACCAAATTGCAAGCAAAAGCCTTCCAAATCCGTCGCACGCGTTCGCAGCATCGCAAAATGAACAATATACTTCTTTTCTTTTTTAGCAAGTTTTTTTTGGGGGGGTTTGATAATGCGTTGTCCAGAAGTTTGCCTATATATGTTTTTTTTGTTTTTTTCTATACGGTTGCTGCGCTGGTCAGAAATGCGCTAGTAGCTTCGCTTGACCACTAGACAGTAGTTTTTCCTTTCTTGTTTTTTTTCTCAGGAAGCGTTGGCAGAAGAGGGAGTGAAGGGAGAAACAGGGAGGGAGTTTTCATTGTAAAATTGCGCTAGCGTTTTATTGTCCTCTGTTCCCCGACTTTGACCTGTTTCTGAGCTTGCCCGCCGCGAGCGACGGATTTCGTGCTTTTGTCTGTGCGTACGTGCGTGCGTGTGTGTGCGAGCGCGCGAGCGAGCGGCTTCGGCGAGTTCGCCTCTATCTGCGAATTTCAGGCGGAACGCAATCTGCTTTTCTTCTTTCTTCCCCCGTATTTCTAGCAACGGCTGCTTTATTATCATGATGATTTGGTCAGTTCACACACCGGTCAGTTGGCTCGCACGCGCCAGCCTTTCAACGGAGTGGGAAG